AAACTTTTTTATTTTTGCACAACATAAAGAGTCATTAGACTGTAAAAATGACAATAGTAAAAAGTAAAGCTTAAATTATTTATTGATATAATAGGAATGATGTCAGAAGAAGCACAAGAAACGTGCAACAAAGTGTACAGGAGGGTGCGAGAGAAACATACAAGAAAAATGGATCGCCTTGTGACCACTGAGGATCTGATAAACACAATGTTTGTTTTGTCAGATCCTATAATATCATTAAAACGGGGACTTCCGAAACATAAACGCGAAGCATTGCCGGACGAGGTTCTTCAGCTTCTCAAAATTCAAAAAGGCGAAGTAGCAGAAGATAATATAATAAAAAACCAAGAGGAAGACAATAATGATGAAGAGGAAGATCAAGAAGAAAACGATGACGATGAAGAGGAAGCAGAAGAAAATAATTTTGCGTTTTTCTAAACTTTTCGTTAATTTATTTATTTTATAATTACTACTAAAAAAGGTAGTGTGGTTAATAGTCCTTTGCATTCATGCCATTTCGTCAAAATAGAACAACCAATTCAAATTTAATATCTTAAAGCTTTTCATTATTATAAATACTTAGAAAATGATGTCCCTTTATCTCTAGTTGAATTTCTACTTTATATTAAGTATGTGTTCTGCTAAAGTACCATTTCCGGTTGATGGATTTGATTGTGTTTTCCGACGCACGCACACACACTTAATGCTTTGAATGGTTATTAATATCGGTTCTAGAGCCTTAAAAATATACAGATTAATCAAAATCTTGAAGCATATTTTTCATGATTATAATGTTCTCTTCACATAGCTGATAATACGTGAAAGAGTAAAACGATTAACAAACGCACATTTTTATTAGTTTCCTTAAATGATCTTAACTTAATAACAACGCTATATCAATAAATTTCTAACCGTCAGAATTTTGTCGCGCTAAAATCATAATCTGTCCCACTGTGCGCCGTCTCGAAAGGCGCCGCGCCGTCGATGTGTCGATACTTTCGATACTTTCAATACTTTCGATACTTTGCGGGTATCGAGTATCGATACCGAGGTAGGTATCGATACCATCGACAAGTATCGATACTTTGCCCAGCACTAGAATTAAATCGTTCGCTTATTAAGGCATTCGTTTAGTGTGGAGGGGCGCACGTTTCCTAAACTGTCCGGGCTCTGCTAATAATAAATGCTTTATTCCAACAGGTCTCCACCCAATTACAAGAATACAAAAAGAAAAAAAATACAAATGTAGTAATATACAAAAAAAAAAACAATAGGTAGTAATGATAACAATTATAAGATATATGAATACATCAAAATGGAAAAATAGTATTATACAGGGTGGGCAAATTTGGGTGTTATTATAGGCTATCTCAGAAACTATAAGAGTACGAAAAAAGTAGGTGCCATCTCTTTTTTCGAGACTAATTCAATCCCGCAAACACCAAACCTCTATCGTCTTTTGTTTTTAAGTTATAGCCAAAATGTCAAATTTTCGTGATTTCAAAAAATGCTTTATTTCGTTTATTTCTGAAATTAGAGAAATGGGGTTGATACGTTCTTAAGACACTTTTTTAAGTAGAATATACTGCCGTTGAAAAATTTTTAAAATATTTAATGATTTTTGAGATACAACACAAAGTTGTATTTCTTTAAATACAAACT